CCCGACGCTGGAGGTTGCACATGAACTGCTGTTGGGCGCGAGGGAGCGTGTGAATAGTGAAAATAAACACAGAGTTTGTAACAGCCGCGCCCCCCGACCCCCACAACGGCCCCGGGGGCTGCGAAAATGGGGAGGGGGTCGTGAAAACCCCGGGGAGGGGCGCGCAGGGGCGGCTCCGCCCATTTTTGCCCATATAAGGGCATGCGGAAGCGGGTTTCCCGCCTCCTGCCGGGCGTGGCCCCGCCCCCTTCCCGTGGCGTCAGCGTTGCCTTATATGGGCATGGAAGTGGCGAGGGCGGGGCGGGGATCCCCGGGTTGGGGGGGGGGGCACGGGGACCCCCAAAAACACAAATGGGGGGCACAGAGACCCCCGAAACAGGGGAGGGGGCGCAGGGACCCCTCCCCAAATATGGGGGGGCACAGAGACCCCTCCTCAAAGACATGGGGGGGCACAGGGACCCCCGAAACACACGGGAGGGGCACAGAGACCCCTCCCCAAAATCATGCAGGGCACAGGGACCCCTCCCCAAAAACAAATGTCCCCCGGACACACGGACATTAACGGGGAACCCCCCGGGACACGCGGAACCGGTTCTGGAATCCCCGGACACGCGGAACTTAACGGGGAATCTCCCGGACACACGGAACCGTTTCTGGAAACCCCCCAGGACATGTGGACATTAATCCGGTTCTGGAACCCACCCCGGACACACGGAACCGGTACTGGAATCCCCGGGACGCACGGACATTAACGGGGAACCCCCCGGGACAAGCGGAACCGGCTCTGGAAATCCCCCCGGACACACGGAACCGGTTCTGGAATCCCCTGGACACGCGGACATTAACGGGGATCCCCCCCGGACACACGGAACCGCTTCTGGACCCCCCCGGGACACACGGACATTAACGGGGATCCCCCCCGGACCCGCGGATCCGGTTCTGGAGCCCCCCGGACCCGCGGACCTGGAACGGGGATCCCCCAAACTGGCGCGGGCCCCCCCGCTGCACCGGAACCGGACACGGACGGACTCCCGGGGGTCCCGGTGGGGCCCTCCCCCAGGTGGTGCCGGTGCCGCCGGTCCTTGGGCCGCCCCCGCTCGGGGTCCCGCTCTTTTGGGGGGGGGGCGTCGCCCCCCGACTGCGTGGTCAGGCTCAGGTCCGTGCCCAGCCCTGGATGGGAGGGGGGACACGGAAAAATTGGGGAGGGGGCGGTCAGGGGGACACTGAGGGACCCCCCCCGATGTGGTGGGGGGAGAGACAGGGGGAGGGGATTTGGGAATTTCTGAAATTTGGGGATTTTGGGGTTGGTTTTGGGGGGGTTGCCTTCGATTTTGGGGTTCCCTTGGGATGTGGGGTCACTGATGGGGTTTTGGGGGTCCCCTTGAGGTGTTTTTCGGGGGGGGTCTTTGTGGAAGTTTTAATATCCTTGGGGGGTTTTGGGAATCCCCAGAAACCGGGGATCTGAGGAGTTCTGGTGGGATTTGGGGATTTTTTGGGGGGTTGCCTTGGATTTTGGGGTTCCCCGGGATTTTCAGGCTCCCCCGGGATTTTGTGGTTCCCTTGGGACGTGGGGTCACTGACGGGGTTTTGTGGGTCCCCTTGAGGCGGGTTTTGGGGAGGTTTTGATCTCCTTGTGCCATTTTTTTTGAATCCTTGGTGGCTTTGAGGAAACCCGCCGGGATTTGGGGGTTTTATGTCGTTTTTTGGGGGGTTGCCTTGGATTTTGGGGTTCCCCCGGGATTTTGTGGTTCCCTTGGGACGTGGGGTCACTGACGGGGTTTTGTGGGTCCCCTTGAGGCGGGTTTTGGGGAGGTTTTGATCTCCTTGTGCCATTTTTTTTGAATCCTTGGTGGCTTTGAGGAAACCCGCCGGGATTTGGGGGTTTTATGTCGTTTTTTGGGGTCCCCCCGGATTTGGGGCGCCCTCGGGCGACACCCAGGGGACACCACAGGACCCGGCAGAGCCAAACCCCAGTCCCGGGCGGGGTGGGTGGCACGGGGGGCAGCGCGATGTCCCCCCCGGGTCGCACCTGTGTCGCCGTCCGTGTAGCGGCTGAGGGAGCGCTCGGAGGCGCGGTGGCCGCGGTGGCCGCGGTGCCGGGGGTGGTGGCGCGGGGCGTCCTCGGGGGGCGGGACGCGCTCCAGGGAGAAATCGTCCAGGCGGACGCCGCGGGCGCGGGGCTGGCCCAGCAGCGAGGCCGAGCGCTTGATGGGGCTCGAGTCCGCGATGGTCTGCGCGACACGGCGCTGGCACCGGCCACGGCGGCCACACCGGGGACACGGGACACCGGGGACAA